GGAGACTATGATCCAAATGAGTTTGGCATTTGACAAATTACCATGCTACTTTTCAACTTGCCAGAATTTAACCCACAACTTTTGATGGTTAAAATATTTAAAATCTTCCAACCTTTGGAAGAAAACTATTAAAAAAATATCAATGCTTTCTTAATGTTTAGACGTAATTACACAAAAAAATAAATGCATTGATTTAGTTACAATATACATGCTACAATTATGTGCCCAAAATCCAGGATGTATTTTTTTCTTTGTCTAAAGTTTTAATTGTTTAGTGTTATGTTACTCAGTCCTGAATTTTCTTTCCATCAGCAATTATGTTCTTTTTTCCAGCAACATGTGAACAAAACACTCCAGAAACTTTATTCCCATTTCAAGCCTAGTAGATTTATCCAGTCCAGAGCGAAACTCAAGTCAAGAAGAGTACCTTGATCTTCTATCACAGAAGCCATTTTTTCCAGCACTTCCAGGTACGCAGTACTGTACTGTATATCTAGTTCTAATTAGTAAATGTAAAAGACTACATTCAAATTGAAGTTATCATCATCATCTGGTACATTGTTTTGTCTTGGGTAGATATTATGTACGTTAATTATTGCCATGAATTTGTTATAAATTATCAGTTTTGTCTATCACTCTCTTAACATAGTGTCCAAAAATCAAAAGCCACTTTTTGAGATCAACATGCCAAATTTTATAAGGCCCTTTTGTTGCTTGCTAAAATAACATGGCCCTTAATAGGGTATCACTAGGATTATCTTATGTATTTATTGCCTTGGGAAAATATGGGATAATGCATCTAAAACAATTCTGAGGAGTATACAATATTTTAACTGCTTTGTCAATGAGTAATATCAGAATTAAAATTATGTATTTTCCTATGCAAAATACCAATTTATCATAAAGGTCATTGTTGAAAAATAACTTTGAAGTAACATGAATATTAAAAACTTAAAGATAGAGATTAGTTTATTTAAAAAAAAATTGTTTACACATAATTTTACAGAAGCAACTGATAGAAACAATTCGAGTCAATGGAATTGTTTTTATATTTATCCAATTTAAAAATCAGGGTATACATTTCAATTCAATAATTCATTGCTCATGTATGCGTGTTACTGCATAACAAGTATATTCATTAATTTTTTTTTAAAGATTTGTTTTGTCATTTTCAAGAGACAATACATCTTCAAAACAAAACTAATATGTAAACCTCTTGCAGGGGTCTCGCACAAAACCAATGGTCCTGTTAGATTTTCAACTAGAGTGCTTAGATAGTAAAATGCTGAATTAGCCTGGCCACTCATTTGGCTATATCAGCATTGTTTCTCTGCAAGTGTTTTCACAGCTATCACAATATTAGGATATTTCATTCTACTTTACAGTACTGTTAACTGAAGTCGTAAACTAATGAATATGCACAGTTGTATGACTCACGGTCGACGGTCTGTGAATGGCAATAAGTAAGTGATTATAAGGCACAGTGTCAGTGTATAATTCGTACACTTTAGTGTAAAAGTGTGCAAAAATGTTATCAAAAGGGTTTGTATGTAGCAAGGAGTTGAACATAACATATCTTAAAGGAATGATGTGGACTGAGGAGTGTCGGTTAAAGTATGTGTCGGTTAAAGCACATATCAGTCAAGGTATACATTTTGGCTTGTGAGTCAAAGCATAAAAGTAATTATATGTGAGTGATAGCTGAATTAAAAAAATCACATTATTTTGGAATCAAGAAATAAAGTAAAGAATTGATCGCGAGTACTGTAAATAGTTTATTAAAGAAAATATATACCTATCAGCATACATATATATTATTAACTTTTATTTGCTCTTTCCATATGTACATGTTGGGGATCCACCAAGGCGGATTACCCCCACTTAAGCAAATCATAACATAAAGCACCTTTACTTTCAATGTTTACAAATTTCTGTTCCAATATTTTACTTATCAATGGCCATACACCTACATACCATGAACCAATAGAAGCGCTTACTGCAATATCGACATAATTTTACACATTTCCTTGTTAAACCCCAGGGTACTCAACCCTGGCCAAAATCGTCTATGCACATTACCGAGAGAAGCAACGATGCGAGCTATTATTTCACATTTATATTCTATAGTTTCAATATCCCTAATTGGAACATAATATGCTACTTTCGTGTTATAACATTCGTCAAGGAATGTGTCGTACGGTGTCGAGGTTTCTATTAAGTAACATCTATTTTGATTGTTGTAAATTATTAGTTATTGTATCTGGTTTTCTGTGTTTTATTGCCTGC